CCCCCCCTCCAAGCCCCTCCATGCATCGAGATGTTCTGGCAGCAAATATTTTCAATAGAGGGATTGATGAAAACATGTGATGGGTTTGTTGGTAGCTACCACGCTGTGAAATGCATTCCAGATTATCAACAGAGTGTTGTTGAAGTTGTCCTCTGCTCTGACTGGGTCGTACTGGATGTGTTTCTATAGGTTGATGTGGTCAGCTGACTCAGGTGTGCTTCACTGAACACCTTTAATTACCTCTAATTGTATCATTTGTTACCATGTGGCAGAGTGACAATCAGAGTTGATTTAAAAAGTAATAAATAACTAGGTAATAATTAAAACTCTATTAAATATGACTATTAATCATGATGAATCCTAATCAGGATTCATCAATTTTTTTTAGATTTTTATATTATCTCTATTTTATTCTCTCCAAACCCCTTACCCCACCGACCAATAGACATAGAGCGAGGGGTAGAGAGAAAGAGAAATAAATAATCGTCCTGATTAATCATGATTAATCTACATCAGGTCATAGTGACAGTATCACCCCAGAGCAGACAGACAGACAGACAGACAGACAGACTGGTGCTGCGCTGACCCTGGTACAGAGGATTGTTTCAGTGTAAAGCAGGTCCATGTCAGACTGGGACCACATGTGTTTTTATATTGAAGTTTATTGTTCAGTCGCTCTAACACTGATATATTTACGTGGCTCCGTCGGCGTCTCCAGGGTTGAAGCCCCTCCGTCTGCTTCTATCCTCTGGACGGCCTCTCTGCTCTGTCTCTTTCTATCTCTCAGCCTCTCTCCTCATGTTCTCCTCATGCTCGGCTCCTGCAGATGTTGCCTGTTTAAAAAAATTTCCTGCCAGACCTCAGCTGGGCTATAGCAACACATGATGTCATCTAGACCCTCCTCCCTCCCCCTCCCACCGCCTCACTCACGTGCGACCGAAATCCACTCCAGAACCGTCTCTGGCTGCCTGCCTGTGTGTGTGTGTGTGTGTGTGTGTGTGTTTCATTTGCTTCATTGTCTTGTTCTGTTCATTGTCCTTTAATTTCTTTCTTTTTTGTATTTCTTTTTTTGTTCATTTATTTTTCTAATTCCTCCCTTTATTTCTTTCCTTTTTTCACTTCTCTCTCCTTTCTTCCTCTCCTTGTTTATTCTTTATTTTAAGTATTTGAATATTTTCCCACATTTTTTCTTATTTTCTTTTCTCTTTTTGTCTTCTTGTAATTCATTCTGTTTTTTTTTTCTATTTTCAGCCTATCGTCCTTTCTTTCTCTCTGTCATCTTCAGCCATCCTTCCATCCCACTCTTTTCTCTCACACTCTTCCATCACCTGCTGATTCTATCAATACCTTTCCCTTCACTCTCTTATTTTTACAGCACAGCAATATAAAAAAAAAAATTAAAGACTGCGTTCCATGCTGCCAAACTGGCAGTCGGTTGGTGCACTGAGCCCTCTAGTGGTACAGAATAGTCACAACAGGTTGTCTTGTATATTCAGCGCTTTGTCAGCAAACTGTGAGTGGATAAATATAGCGGTGGTTCGGACAAACGCTGCTCCAGTTCTGATCTACTTCAGGTGCCTTGACAAAACAAAGTCTTTGAGCTCCTTTATTGTCATAATTGGTGAATCAAACCAGAAAATGTGTCTGTTTCTCAGGTGGTGTCCAGTTGTTGAATAGCAAATAAATCAAATTTTACTTTTAGTGGTCATTGATGTGAGAGGTAGTTGTGTGTGATTGACTGACCAGGGCCATATTTCACCCTCCACCCATCTTATAATGGTCCGCTCTTTGTGTCAGCTCCACCACCACCTGAGACAAACACAATAAGGTGCATTTGTGTGCATGGCATTCTGTGCACACCCACTCACATGGGTTCCCATGTCTCACATACACACACACACTCGATGAGTGTGTGTGTGTGTTTGTGTGTGTGTGAGACATGGGAACCCTTCAAAGGCAAACATGTCAGTTTGCTGCCTGTCACCTGCCTCCTGTGGCGCGGCTGACTGTGATTGATAACTCCGTTTCTCCCATCATCCCTCATTTCGCATGTTTACAGATTTTCCTGATTGATGCCTGTGTGTGAGACAAATTAATGATGCAGATTTCCAACCAGGGCTCGGCGGCAGCTCATTTATATGTCTGACTATCACTGCTTCTCCCTGCATGACTTAGACGTTTGGAAAAAGAAAATAATCTCCCAACAAACGCCTGACCTCTAGCGGAGGCCGCTCAAGTATTGGCAAAAAGAATCCAGTCTGAAACTTTACAAAAAAAAACCCAACTTTTGACTCGACTGGACTTTTTCTCACACAAGACAAGAAATCAAAAGAGAACCACAGAGGGAGAGATACGGGGGAGAGAGGAGGAATCTTGGCAGCACAGGAAGTAAACAGATGTGAAGGAGCAGGGAAGAATTATGCTGTTAGAAAAAACAAGGAGATGGGAATAAATTAATTTAAATTGGAAGGCCACGTATGCAGGCCTACTCAATAGGGGGAGCTGTAGGCACAGTTATAAGGTCAACTGGTTGAGTTTCTCCTGGAACAAGCTATGAAATAATCCAATATAATGTCTACTGTTAAGAAGCAAAGCTAGCAGTTAAAGCTAACAGGGTAGCTAGTTAAATAAAGATATGAAAGGCTGTTCCATGTGCGTGGTCGAGGGTTTTATTCCACATCAGCGGCCCCCACCTCCTACCTCATACTGTCCAGCCATCTGCTAACAGAAAACGCAGAGCCAACCTTTACTCCTGCTTTTCCTCCTACACCTCCTTATCTGGCATCTTCCGTCTCTGCTGTTGTTTTCATCATGTTTTTTTTTAATCTGCATTGTGATTTGTTCAGAGACGTGTTGTGCGCGTTGACACTCAGCGATGCAGGCGGTTGATTTGTGTTTTCCTAATGAATGGTGAAGGTTTCCACAAATAGCGTCGTCCAAATGTTTGACTGCAGATCTGGCATTTGACCGTTAAACCTCCTCCTCCTCCTCCTCTCAGAGCGTGGGTGTGCTGCTGCCCTTTGTATGTTGTTATACATTTGTAGCGTGTAATTATGTTTGTGTGTGGGTATATGTGATTACAGATTACATTTGCAACAGTAATATATTTATCCTTTCATGTTTTTATTGGTATTTGAGTGAGTGGATCACTACTTTACTCTTTACTGCCCTGAGTTTCTTTTAGTGAATTCATACGAATTAATTTAGCAACAAAGAAGTTGAGTTTATGATCAGATAAACACCAGCTGAAATGCAAACCCAAACCATCACAGTGGCTCACAATAATCAACCGGAACAAGAATAACCAATGGAGGACAGAGGACAGAGGACAGTCTGAGATGACTGTTTGGAACTCCAGGACATATTAACACAGTTAAAACTGTGTTTTCAAGCTACACGTGTATCTCACTCTTTCTGACTGTGATTCTAAGGGTTATATTTTTGGGTCTAATTCCTCCTGTCTTTGTCTCCTTCTCTCCCAGGTCTCCAAAGTGAATGGGTTGACACGGGCAGGCTCAGCACAAGGTGTGGGTGCTGCCAAAAAGGGCCGCGACTTCCGGCTGCCATCCAAAACTGTGAAGAAGTACACAGCCACCGTGTCCAAGGGCCACGTCACTTACACCAAAGCCAAACAGAGAGAACTGGGCAAGAAAACCAAACTCAGCAACAGCAACAAACACAACAGCGCCGCCTCGGCACCGACGTCAGCGAATAATCACAATCAGCACAGCCAGTCAGCAGCCAGCAACGGACTGGTCAACTCAGGAAAAGCAGTGGCGTCAGCCCACCACAGCAATGCAAAAACCCGCAAACAGGTGCTACTATCCAACGGGCTACACAACGTGGCTGCCGGTGCACGCCTCAACGGGAGGCTAAACGGGCAGCGGCACAGCAGCCTGGCAAAGGAGGTGGGACAGAAGCAATGCCAGGGTGAGTGTCCAGGTAGAGAGGGGCTGCGAAACTCTAAGAGGCGTCTGGAGGTTGTGCTCAGCTCGGTGGGGATCGGTGTTGTTGAGCAGAAAGCCAAAAGTACTGGCACTGAGGCCAAGAAGGCCAAGATTCAGCCCACTCCTCTGGAGACTCGCAGCAGCAGCAACAAGAAAGTTGTCAATCAAGAGAAAATTCCCACGCAGGTCACCTCCATACCCACTACTCCAGTTTCTAATGGACATAAATCAGAATCACCTCCCTCTCCAACTGTCACCCCACCTCCTACTCCCCCTCCTCAACAAACTCCACCTCCTTCTACACCAGCAGCCAAAATGGAGCTGGTGAACCAGCGACCCAAGCGGGCATCGGCCGGCAAGCTGATGTTGATACGACAAGCACAACAGCAGCAGAGCAGGTCTCGGAACTCTTCCTCCTCCTCTCCGTCGGTGGGCCAGAATCACCTGCAGAACTCCAATCGTGCCAGCACTACCTCAGACCCCCAGCAGACCTCCTCCACCACCGCAGCCTCTCTGCTTACGTCAAATAACAGCCCCGGACAGCTCAAACCGGCGCCGCCGCGGTCCGCAGAGCGAGACAAGGAGTGGGAGCGTGAGAAAGAGTTGACACGCCAGAAAGAACGTGAACAGGGGAAGGAATGGGAGCGCCAGAGGAGCAGGCCAGAGGGATGGGTTGCTCTCGGTGACGTCCCAGTCTTCCGACCGGCACCGCGGGAGTTCCTGGACCCTCTGATTTACTTGGATGCCGTGAGGGAACAGGCCGAGGTCGCCGGCATGTGCCGCGTCGTCCCTCCATCAGACTGGCGGCCTGAGTGCAAGCTGAGCGAGGAGATGCGTTTTGTTACGCAGGTGCAGAGAGTCCATATGCTGGGTCGGCGCTGGGGTCCAAACGTACAGCGGTTAGCCTGCATCCGCAAACACCTCAAATCTCAGGGCATTACCATGGAGGAGCCACCCGTCATTGGTGAGTACATCAAAAAGACACAAACACTTCACTTCACCAAGAAACACTGTGAACGACCAAAGGAAGGGGTTTTAAATTTATTTATTTATTGGTTAAAAAATGTCAACAGTTTTTTTTCCAAAGCTCTGAAACTGATCAGCTTTTTGGATCCATAAGGGTTAACCTATTCTCAACAGCCCCCCCCCCCCATCATGTCTGTGTCTGCGTCTGTGTGGTTCTACAGCTGAGCACTGTGGCTGTTGGCCAGACAGAGCTGGCAGACAGAGAGTCACTGTGGAGCGGCCTCCTGCAGCCGGGAGGCCTGGCCTCCAAATGACTCCCTCTCCTGTGCCCAGCAGATCAGATGTGCATTAAGAGTCATTTGTATCTGTGTGTGGCCAGCTATAGTTCAGATCATTTTGAGAGTCGATTGCTCAACAGGCCATTACAAATGAAACAGATTGGGCTGGAGGTAATGGCATGATTAGCTTCAGCAGCAGAATCCCAGGATAAGTGGGAGACTTGATTTGATTTATGTCCTTCGTCTAAGATGAGAGGAAGTGGACCAACCTCTGTGTCTGAACCTGTTTCCTGTCTCCCTGCGTCTCACAGGGGGCTGTGAAGTGGACCTGTCACGATTTTTCCAGCTCATCAACGACATGGGCGGCATGCAGCAGGTGATGGACCTGAAAAAGTGGACCAAGTTGGCCGACCTTCTGTGCATCCCTAAGTCGGCACAGGACCGTCTGGCCAAGCTGCAGGAGGCGTACCTCCAATACATTCTCTCCTACGACTCGCTCGGCGCCGAGGAGCGTCTGCGTCTGCAGACTGAGGTCATTCAGGAGAAAAAGGACCTGGAGTCCCGCCGGGGGCCGCTGGAGGGTCTTTTGGACTCTTCGGCACCCGGTGCTCTGCTCTTGCCGCGCTACGAGCCCAAAAACGGGCTGGCTGGTGGGATTGTGGGAGGGCCGGCGGGGCAACAACGTACCAACGGAGTGTATCACCATCTGAAGGAGCTGGAGGCTCAGGTGAAAGCGGGTCGACGCCGGCTCTTCACTCAGGAAAAACAAGGCAAAGAGGACAGGCATCATGACGAGGAGCAGGAGCAGGAGCAGGAGCAGGAGGAGGACAGGAGCTTTGTCATCGACCAGCACAAATGTATTTATAAGGTGAGGACCAGTTCTGTTTGTCTGCTAACATCTAAACTTTTAAATGAGGCTGCACCATCAGCAGGAGCACGATGGAGCTACAGACGGTGGACAGGTTACTGATCAGGAAACACTTTGATTGGTGGTTGGTTAGCTGCTGGTTAGCTGCTGTTGTCAGTCACTGTGTGGTTGGAGGATGTGCCCAATGTTAACTTTTGCACAGTTGAATACAAGGCCTACATTATAATGGTCTGAGAGTAGTATCCGTACACTGTAACGTGTACTGATACTACTCTCAGTACTAGAGCCAACATATTCTCCTCACACTTCATATGGAGGTTGGAACGCGACCCCTTGTGATGTCTTCTTTCCTCTCGGTTCCTCGATCCCACTGCATGACTCAGTCCTGACCACAGACATCACTGACACTGACACTGCAGGAGGCTCCTGTCAGTGATGTGACAGTTGAATGACTGTCACCAGGCTGCCAGAACATGTCTGCCTGAACGTGACCTGTCACTCTCCTGTGTCATGGAGGGAGGAGGGTCGTCTTTCATCTGATGTGTCCAGAGAACAAAGTGCACGTTGAGGGGATAATTACCTCTGATGAGAGCCGCTCCTCCTCACTGACCGGCTCCTCCAGGCTGACAAAGACTCTACTGTACTACACAGTTTTACTGCAGTATTTTCTTTTCTTTCACTACTCTGCAGCTTTTGTCACCAAAGTAGAGAAGGTGACGTGATGATTGGTCAGTGGGAGGATGAGGAGTTCACAGGCTGCTCCTTCAGCAGGGATTAACCTGGAGCAACAGACAGGTTTACAGGCTCCTTCAGATCTCCTCCACAGCAGGAGAGTCCAGAAGGAGTGGACAGCTGACTGAGAGAGAGAGCACCTGTATGTTCACCTATGTACATGTCCACATGGAGCGGTCCATGAGAGAGAGAGAGAGAGAGAAAAGTCCTGAGAAGTCTTAGGAGGTTAACTGTTGTTTTGGTCTGATTCTCCTGAAACTGATGTTGTTTTATGTCTTTTTTTCTCTCCAGGGTAAATCCGTGTCTTTGACTAATTTCTTCAGGATAGCCCGTAATACCATGACCATGTGCTTTAACAAGGAACCAGGGGCTGCTGAGGTGGAGGTGAGAACCTCCTCCACATGATGACGTCACGAATCAGTGACACAGAATCACAGCTAAACTGAGCAATGTTTTTGTCCCTGTAGCAAGAGTACTGGAGGATCGTGGAGCAGAGAGACAGCCACGTGGCAGTGCATTGTGGGAAGGTGGACACCAGCACACACGGCAGTGGTTTCCCCACAGGAAAGTCAGAGCCATTTTCAAAGTAAGGACAACTCTGACCTTTCAACCAGTACTTCTCACACATATGAGTGGATATTCTCAGTCACCCAGGTCATCCTACAGTGGTTTGTACAGATACATGTTATCAGGTTCTTAATAGTATTTATATTTGTGTGGGTGGGGGGGGAAGGGGAGGGGTACTGTGACAGAAATTAATTAAGAAATTGAGAACCACTGCTTTAAACCAAGGTCTGTTGTAGTATTCTCAGCTTCTGTGATAATACATCAAAGACTTTGTATCTCTCCTCCTCAGACACGGCTGGAACCTCACTGTCCTCCCCAATAACTCTGGATCCATCCTGAGGCATCTGGGTGCTGTGCCTGGTAAGAACCTCCTCTAGGTGTAAACATCTAACAATTAGGCCAAAATATATGTCTGCATCACCTCTGCTCCTGCTCTGCTGCGTCTCCTCAGGGGTGACCATTCCCTGGCTCAACATTGGCATGGTCTTTTCTACCTCATGCTGGTCTCGAGACCAAAATCGCCTTCCATATATTGATTATTTACACACTGGTGCTGATTGCATTTGGTGAGTAGAGGACGTCCAGACAGTGCACTCTAACCCTGACTCCAGCAGAGAGTTTCACTGTGTTTGACTCCTCCTACCACCTTCTCCTCCTCCTCCTCCTCCTCCTCTAGGTATTCTGTTTCTGCTGAGAACGAGGCTAAGTTGGACAAGGTGGTTCATACTCTGCTTCAGGCCAACGGCACTCCAGGATTGGAAATGTTGGAGAAAAACATCATGGTGAGACAGAAACTTTTATTATTTCTTAGCTGCACAGATGGGTAGCACCGCCGCTCGTCCTTCTTCACCTCCTACTACACCTCCTCTACTTTTCCTCCCCCTCCTACTCTCCCCTTTCACCTCCCCCCGCCCCCCCCCCCTCCCCCCCTTGTCCAAAGGAGGGGCGGGGGGAGTAGTAAGTTAGAGTAAATAGTAAGAGTTCCTCTCCTGAAGGGGGCGATGAAAACACCTTCTGTTTCACCTCCCTCTCGAAGGTGAGAGTGGGGGTCTCCCTTTGGGGGAGTAAAAGGAGGTGAAAACACCTGTTTTACCTCCCCCTGTTCCAAGGAGGAGCATGGGGAGTTACTTCCCTAGAAGGAGGAAACAGGAGTCTTCCCTTGGGGAGGGGAGACTCCTCTCTTCTTCTGTCTGAGCTAGGGACAGAACAATAACCATTGACAATAATATTAACAAAGTCCCCTTCTTTATTCTGACTTAGGTGTTTACTGAGCCTTTCACCTCCCCCTGCTCCCCCTGTTC